TAATATCTGATACGTTCCCCGAAGTTGGACTTTTTTTGGAACAGGGCGAAGAGACAGGGTCTTGCTCTGCTTTGCCAGGGGTTGGCCTGGTATTGCAGTGCCTCCAGGAGTCAGCCCAGTCTTTTTCGGTCGCTTGGAGGTCTTATAGTGATTTTCTAAGTGTAGCTCAGATGCGGCACAAGGTCGGAATTATGGGGCACCGAGTGAGGATCGAACTCAATATTCAATCGTAAGTGATCTAGGGAGATCAGCTTGCTAACAATTGCACCACATCGAGATATTTCTTAGAGGTGGTATGAACATACAAATACGATTTTTTTAATCATGCTTAATAAAATCATTAAATCAACCTAAACGATTAACAGAAAAAAATGCATTCGTCGAAACATCGATTGCTATTTGTTCCCTGTGGGATTTTTAAGTTACTCGTGTTGAGTCAAATGATTTAAAATAAATTGTTTTTTTTTTCTTTCTTTTAGCTGATTCAGGTCATGTTTAGGAAATTCTCAACTTTCTACTTTATTTAATAAGTTAAGTGAATGGGTAATATTTAATTAAAGGTGTGATCAGACTTCAAGAGACTTGTCTGCAAAATTTTGCAATCGTTTCCATAAAAGAGACAAAATAAATGAATGTTTGAATTTTATTTATAGACAGACATAAAGAAAGAAAGAAAGAAAGAAAGAAAGAAAGAAAGAAAGACGGAAGGAGGTACGGTGGAGTAATGGGTAGCGGCTTGGATTGAGGAATCGGATTTCGAATTTCAGACGGATCCCATTACATTAATTTACGTGCTAGGAAAGGCATAAATCATTTTCATCTCCCCGCTCGCTAGCTATGGGTAAATAGCAGAACAGACTAGATTCTATAGCCTTGGGTGGCAACCGGTCTAGGAGATGGTAACCATGAATTCTAAAACTGGACTGGATTGGGTTGGACTCCGTCAGGCTATCTTTTTTTAAGAAACCCTACTTCTGCGGATGTTGTACATGTGGTGCCCCTACGAGGATTATGGGTCACGGGATTCGCGATCGAGATAGATAGATAGATAGATAGATAGATAGATAGATAGATAGATAGATAGCATTTATTGTTATTACTGAAAAACTACTAAAATTACTTCTTCGACGCCTTTTTTTCTCGTTTTAAGTTTTCCTGTTAGCGATACTAGTAAAAGGTTAGCAAAGTTTCATGTGTGCCATAAGGGTTGCAAGATTTCGAATAATCCATCACCTACAAAACTGTGTGAGAGCTTTTGAGCTGGATAGTGACGATTGAGGAGAACAAGCTTAGATATGGCACGAATGCTCTATTGCTATTCTGATAGTAAAATCCACTAAGGGCGATATATTACCGAATTTTCCAGTGAAAATGAGGTTGAATTTCTATGTAGTATTAGTGAAATTTTAGGCACATTTTCTTCATACCAATGTTCACACATAATATGAGAAATATTACTATCGAAGAGAGAGGGCAATATAGAACAAAAATTAAGAAGACAGACGATAACAATTACATAAACATACAAACTACGTCAGTTTTTATTATGAAAGTGAATGTTTTCGCCATAAATGAATATTAACCTAATAACCTTTTAATCATTTTACCCCAAGCAAGGCAATAAAATCGTTAAGACATAAGGGGTTATGGAGTGTTAGAGAATATAAGAGGGGAAACCCTACTATTACGGAATAGAAGAACAAGTATGATGAAGACAGTAGATAACGATTTGCATTGCATCTAATTTTCTGAGGATCAAAGTTGACTAGTAATCAAGAAACTGGAAGACAGTTCTACAGGTGTGAATTGAGAAAGAAGAAACTGTTAGCATAGAACCTACGGTGACATCTAGCCATTTCCATTATAAAACGGTGAGATCATTCCGTCTATCTTTTACTGCCATTAAATTCTGAGTTTAAATACCATAGCGGAAAGTACATCAGGAAAATTACAATGAAAGCGTTTATATTGAAGGTCTAATGGATGCGAGTCTGCAAATATTATTCCCTCAAAAATGTCCTATTTTTTAATTTTTTTTCTTTCAAAAGCGGACAAGTTAATTTAAGTAGTGACAAAAAAATTAAACAGTCAGCCATTGTCGTTGTTTTTTTTTAATCTTTTATTAATTATCTATATTCCCCTGTCTTTCGTGCCAATAGAGACATCAGCCTCTGTAACAGGTGTTTCATTTTTATGATGACGTCAATGGATGAATATTTGATTCAAAAAGAATTGCTGACGTCAAATAAGCCTCGATATGAAGAAGGAATGAGATGAAGTTATTCGTTTTCTCCAAATATGATTCGATAAGCGACGCCTTGGAAACTGCCATAAACTCACCCATGACTCACACTTTACTTTTTCGTCTCGTTCCTAATTCTTGTAGCTCTTACAAACCTTCACACGCTTTCAAGAGAAGTAGTGTAGATTTTATAAGCATGTTAATGGAATAAACGACGGGTTTAAATTTTAAAAGAGAGTTAGACATTAGTCAGAATCGATGTTTTTGAAGCTTAGCAAGATTGAAGGGAAATATTTATGTTGGGGGTAGAATAGAAAAGCTATTACTGAGAGATGTCATGTGGGTCCAAGTTGTATGTGTATGGCTCTCCCTGGATTCCTTATTTTTCCTATCTTTGGATTTCCATGAATTCGGGGAACACTGCTCTAGTGAATAGTAGTTACTTTCTCTACAGTTTTGGATTAATTAGATCATTCTTTACCTTAGACATTGTGCTGCCCAGAGCTAGACATCCCAGTTTAAAATATTATTTAACCCATAGAAGATATGTATGCCTTTATAAAGGTCATAAGTACGTTATTTGGCTGGTTGTTTACTTTTAGCGGAATATCAAACTGCATGATTTATTTAATGCCGAAATTCCCAAACAATGTGTATGCCATTTTATTTTATTTCTGGCGAAAATAAGTATACAAGTCATACTAAGTAATCATAACTAGGGGCATAAGAGCTAAATTCATGCCCTTCACCAGGGTATTTGCGAGTCAGTCAGTAAAACGAAACCTTATGGAATTGGAACAGATAGATAGATAGATAGATAGATAGATAGATAGATAGATAGATAGATAAAAAGATGAACAGGAAAACGCAAATAAATAGATAAAGAGCGAAAAAGTAAAATAAGTGTGAATAGTAAAGATGAAAAGACTGATATCAAAAGACAGATAAGATCGGTAGATAATGGACAGAGAAGATAGATCAATAGAGAGAAATGAACAGACAGATAGACAGATAGATAGATATCGTTATAAAATGACAGATCATAACACACATAGAGACTAGTATGAATCTAATAGAGAGATAGATAAGAACAGATCTTAGATAGATAGATAGATAGATAGATAGATAGATAGATAGATAGATAGATAGATCTACCACTCCTCCCTTCAGTCCCTCAACCTCCGGCGTCTTCCTCTTTGGGTCGAGGCGCCCACTCGGTCTGAACCGAACTCAGGGGTAGTTGGCCGCACGCTCCCTGAGTACCCGTAGGTTGTTCAACCTGTTACCGGCCAAGTTCCGCCTGCTCCCCACGTTGTGTTAGTTTTTAGATCCAGTAAGCGGGGTGTTGTCAATACGTTCACGGTCGATTGGGGATGTAGGCATGGCTGTGAGGGTGGGCGGCAGGAAAATTAGAATGTGGCAAACAAGGAAATAATATCTGCAGAAGCCGAACAACAATGGGTAAACTATTGATGTCTTTTATATAAGAAAACAACAACAGTAGAAAGAGTTTACAGAAAGAATAGAAAATCAGTTAACATGAGATCAGAGGACCACTCCTATACCAATTATACCAACAGAGAGAGGTGTGTGTGTGTGTGTGTGTGATTAACTCGTTCCAAATCAACTTGGGGGGATATGTGACTCGTAATTCCAGCCCTACGTGGAAGTGTAGCTTTTCAGTTGGTTGTCGTAAGTGACAAACGTTCAGTTTCAGCGACTTTTTAATGCGACTGCTACAACGACAACGATATTTCTTGAAGTCCTTATCTCTGACTTGCCAATGGACCGACTCACTACAACGACAGTTCTCTCTCTCTCTCTCTCTCTCTCTCTCAATGTCACTCTCGTCTAACGCCCAAGTCTCCCCAACTCAGCAAAACTCGCGTTTATATAGCAAACCGAAAATTATAAGCCAGGTTGTTCACGCGCTTAACAAGAGTGTTGCCATAAGCAAAGTTTAAATTCAGATCTATTTCAAATCTCCTAGTGGATAAGATTAATTAGTTCAATGTTCATTTCAATTGTCTTTTCGATGACCAAATTCAGCGGATACAGCCTATGTTTAGATCAAATTTCGCTAGCAGTAAACATACACTGATCTTACCTCCCCGGTACAATTTATTATAATATGTTTTTATCAAAAATATTATTTTCGTCTATTTTTTTTTTAATGACCCAAATTAAACATCGCCTCCTGCCCTTTTGCATTTGTTTATAAACAAGTCCTCGCCAATCCGATTTGAAATTTATTCTTTATCCATCAGCCGTCTCAGGTTTCATATATCATTGTTCTAGATTCTTTCCTATTAATAGCGCTGACACAGTTTGTAACTTTCACGGAAGATCGTGTTTTCCATCTTCAATCAATAAACGTTATATTTGCGTGTGTGCATTCATGTGCGTCAACCTCTCTTTGTTACAGATAGGTAGATAGAGGTCGTTATAAAATGGCAGAAATCATAAAAGACTAATATGAATCTAACAGAGAGATAGATATGAACAGATCTTAGATAGACAGACACAGATAGATAGATAGATAGATAGATAGATAGATAGATAGATAGATAGATATCATTATAAAATGACAGAGATCATTACACACTTTGAGACTAATATGAATCTAGTAAAGAGATAGATACGATAAAAATCTTTGTGTTGTGACCAAGTAAATGGTTAAGTAATAAACAAAACCAGATTTGCAGGTATATCATATATTAAACAGTAAGTACACCAGAAGAGTATAACCCGACTAGTGTTAAAAGGATAGATAGATAGATAGATAGATAGATAGATAGATAGATAGAAGCAAAATGAATTTACCCCAAAAAATTAACAAATCACACCTGTTAGAATAGACGAAAAAAAATCAATGAACCTAAATAAATAAAGTAAATAATAAACCTAGCAATTTCTCTATTTGACTTGCCACACTGATGCCATCCTATTATTTGTCCTTGTTGAAATTCACCAATTTCCTGACTTCCACAAACTTTCATTGCAAAATATAAATCAACTATTGCTCATGCATGAGATTACCTTGATACTAACACGGTATTGTCTGAAAAAAAGAGACGTTATTAAACAAACCAAAATTGCTGTAATCTTCTTCTTCTTCTTCTTCTTCTTCTTCTTCTTCACTCTCAATAATGTTTGTCTCCTTACTAACCCCTTCACTCCTTAATCTGCCATTCATATACAAACTCTGGTGAGGTTAATTATTGTTTACCTATTCCATTCAATATGCCTTATAAGTGTCAAATTCTCCAAGCCACACAATTTGTTCTAGAAATTTCAACTGTGTATTACTGATTAGAAATATAAATGTTATTTTTATTCCATTCGAATACGCCTCAGTGCGGACGCAAAAGAGGCCTCGGATTGCATGTCTCTCAACACTCTTTATTTCCGGGTTTTTCCTGTTAGCAACGGGACAATTTCACATGCCTACCGAGATTCGAGCGTCACTGCAACTGGTCAAGACCCGGCTCTTTGTACGATGCCTCATGCCAATAAAAGCTAGGGGAAAACAATAGTCGGCAAAAAACGGTGTCTTGTGAAGGAGGTCCCGTGGAAATATTGGTCCTCAAGTTACATTCGGTTTCCGCGGCAGTATTATTTTATGTGACCTCCCGTCTCTTTTCCCTCTCTCCATATTATCCCCGTAGTCGTTGGGGGAGAAATCGCTTAGGGGTTTCCCACCCCAATCCCTACAGAATCTTTGTTTACATTACAACACATTTTCCTCAAAAGTTCCTCGTTGCTCACATATTCCGTCGATGTTATTATCAGTAATGTTCTCTGTTGCCTCAGTTCTTTTCCTCACCTTTGACAAGATTTCCCAGAAATCACTGCCATATTAGTGGGTTAGTGTAACAATAGCTCAGCACCCATTTTCTTTATATTTCGCTTAGCTTTTGGAAGGCATCTTTTGCTGTTCCATGTTGCCTTCTGATTTGCGTGTGACATCTTATTACTTGTATTAGTTCCATTGTTCGGACTGTTGTCCTCGTCTTTATTGTCATCTTCACATCTTGAATACAATATGGAAACCATTAATATCTTCAATAATCACAACAAATTTGCAATATGAGCTCTGGCAACTGTCTATATTTCTGAGATGAGGTACTAGTTACATTATTCGGATTATTGTCCTCGTCTTTGTCGCCATATTTAATACAACGTTTCGGCCGTTGTACGCTTCTTCTTCAGTTCGTTGGAATGACGAACTAAACCCTTTATTTCGCTCATTGGAGTAGACTTTTCTAGTTCAACGTGCAGTTATCAGTTATCTCTTGTTAACTCCTTTCTCCAAGTTCTCCACTGCCTTAACTGGGTATTGAACTCACACTCTTTGAGTCCTGCCACTGGATCTAACCAACGCCTTTATCCACTGGGCGATGTGTCATTGAGGACATTTGTGTATGAATTTCTGGGTATTATAAGCCTAATGTCTTCAACCATTTTTTACCAGTGCTCATATTGCAATTTTTGTTGTTAATATCGCTTTTCTCTGGCACTCCTTATTACTGGTTCCCATATTGTATTCATTTCTATGCTTGGTCGGCTTGTTCTTGAACACACACACTTTGGGTCCTGTAATACCAAAGATAAAATGAAGGCAAGGATTATGACAACATTCAACAAACTAAACAAGGAAACAATACAGAAGAGATGCAAGAGATTCCGAAGTCATCTGGAGGTTAATATTGAGTTTAATGAATAAATTTACTCTTCCATATTTCAAAATATTTTTTATAAAATATTGGTAAATATATCTTTTCGTAAATGTCAGTGCTATTTTCATGTTTGCGTCATTCAAACGACAATTTATCCATCGTACTCTGTGTGTGTGTGTGTGTGTGTGTGTGTGTGTGTGTGTGTGTGTGTGTGTGTGTGTGTGTGTGTGTGTTAGGACGTTTTAAATTTTTATATAATGAGACCACGTCTTATTTGATGGAATGGAAATCAACAGAAATATTTATAAAAATCTAAATTATCGATTAAGCGCGGGAAAAATTCATAGAATGAAATTATAAAAGAAATAAGGAGCATAAATGAAAGGTAAATAAACAGAAAAACAGAAAAAAGAATGAAAGGAATATGAGACGAAAAAAAAAAACAGGAAAAAGAAAGGGATAAATGAATGAAGCAATTGATTCAGGAAAGAATGAAAGATCTTGAGTAGAAAGATGGAACGAGGAAAAAGAAAAGAAAAAAAAACAATAAATAAAATAGAAAATATAAAAAAAAAAAAGAAATAAAATCTCCGAACTGTGAACACAAGAAAAAAATGGTATTAGTCACAGTTAAAAAAAAAATAAATCAGATGAATAAAAAATAAAGTAACATAATACATACAATCCTGATTTTCCCGCTTTAATCAAGGCTTTATCTGACGACACCAGTTTGTTAGATTTCAACAGAATCAGAAGAATTGTTTGTCAGTGTCTAGGGCCATACGATGAACCGTCCTGATTGATTAGCGCGAAAGAGAACGACAAGAACGATATGAACGACAAAAGCCCCCGAATAGAGTTGGGGTTCTGCAGGGAAATCGCATGCCAACATTAGTGGCAGGATGTGAAATCATTAATTTTGAACGAACCGATTTGAGCTGGACGGATTTCACTAAAGGTTAGGCACAGTATGGGGCTTGAGGTTTGGTAGACTGGTCTGATACCCCTCGTGGAAGATGGGGTTGAAGAGGGGGAAGTGTAGGTTGTAGGTGCGGAGGCGCTTGAGAAAACTACTCCTTTTATTTCCTTTCGGGCAGATGATGTGAAGCGTAGAGACAATCACATATACGCAGCACGAAAACACCGGCCGAATTGAAAACCAAAATTGAATATATATATATATATATATATATATATATATATATATATATATATATATATATATATATTTGTATATTTAGGCAGCAATCCTTCCTTTATGCATGTTTCATTAAAAACGACAGACAAGGTACTACGGTTGAGCTTTTTATTTAATTTTTCTTGTGTTCTAACAAGAGCTTTCTTTTCTGGACAAAGAGTGTGTAAGAACTGTCCGAATGTTCTGTATTTCCGAGCGCTTTCGGCTATACCTTTAGCCATTATCAAGGATGATTCGATTATCAGCTAAAAATAATGGAAGTCCTAATAATAAAAAAGAAAAAGCCAACTCTTAACAATATTAACTATGAACAAAGCCACAATGTGCTAACCGTATTCGGAAACTAAAAACATCACTACCACACACCGAACATACACAGAACACACACTCTCCTAATCTGATAATCGAATCATCCTTGATAATGGTTAAAGGTATAGCCGAAAGCGCTTGGAAATACAGAACATTCGGACAGTTCTTACACACTCTTTGTCCAGAAAAGAAAGCTCTTGTCAGAACACAAGAAAAATTAAATAAAAAGCTCAACCATAGTACCTTGTCTGTCGTTTTAATGAAACATGCACATATATATATATATATATATATATATATATATATATATATATATATATATATGTGTGTGTGTGTGTGTGTGTGTGTGTGTGTGTGTGTGTGTGTGTGTTAAAGACGACTGACCAGGCACTGTGATTAAGTTTTTTTTATTTAATTTTCCTTGGGTTCGTACAAATGTTTTAAACGTTCTGCATATCCGAGCGCTTTCGAATATTATTTTAGCCAATATCATGAGTGATTTTTAGTTTTAACTAAAAGTGTAGTTGTTTTTTATGCATGTGTCTGAAGTTATAGTAATATTTTATTTTCCGAACGCTACTATATATATATATATATATATATATATATATATATATATATTATTGGTCAGAGTTGAATTATACCAGGAAACAGTAGTATGAAATAATGCTCAATAGACGTATAAAGAAAATAATATAATAATTAAAATTTAATATGCAAAGCTTTCAAATTTAAAAAAATGTTAGATCAGCCGATCACGCTACGTTGGTTTCAACCATTTGGTATCTTCAGGCATCGCTGGCTAAATAATGTCCTTACGCTTTACTATTTAAAAGTCAATAAATAAACACACAACGCGAAGCATAATAGAAGAGGAGAGAAGAAAAGCAAAGGCATTAAAATTGTATCGGAGTGGGAGGTTATAGGAAATAACCGGATTTTCACCTGGTTCAAATGAACTTAAAATGATTTTCTTGCGTATATATGCATCGTGCATATTATTTCTGATCTCATATGCGGAAGGTTTTTCTGGTTCTGTAAATGTTATTATGGTTAACTTTAACGATATAATGTTATTATTGTTTAACTTTCAATAATAAAGCCTTAGGAATTTATTTAGCCCGGACATCCTGAAGATATCGAAAGTTTGAAATTATGGTAGCGTGATCTGCTGATCTCCTAATTGATATATAGATAGATAGATAGATAATATGAGGAAGGGACGTAATGCAATGACTTCTACTTATTTCTACGGAATTTACAACAGATACACAAAGCCTCATAATAACGCCTGTCCGAGCTTTTGTTTCCTTACGACAAAGTAGTATTTTTGTAGTCACTATTATCTATCCAACTTCGAAGTACCTTCAAGAATTTGCATTGACGAATGTGGCTGGCCGCAAAGAATGATCACATCCAAGAGTTCAGGCGGAAATTATTTATGACTCAAGTTCCATGAAGTTCGAAGGTGCACTCAGGTACCACAAAACGCTAGACATTTCCATTGTGATTTCCCTAATAACCTTATTTCTAACCAAATTTGAATTCAGAGTTGGGCTTCTGTCTTCTACCTAGACTTATTTTCAACTACAGCTTGTGAGGTCAGTCTACACTATTATTTAATCCATTGCTGAGTAGAAAAGAAAGGGTATCTTAACTTTCCCAAGTGTTTTTGCCCGATAGTGAACGTAACGAAACCGACTGGATTTCGAACACCGCTTGCCGTTTTATCACTCCGAACCGCTAACTCGTAAACAAATGTCACCTCTATAGACGCGTACACTCTTGTATAATCACATACCTCATGGCGCTATAAAGAAGTTTAAGCGTCATCATTCATGAGTAGAAATATTGCTGTCGCCACAGCTCAAACACATTACCCAGCAGCTGACTATGCTCACAGCTATTGTTTCGTCTCCAAAATTGTTTAAGAAACGGTGATAAATACCAGTTGCTGCAAGATTCTTCTACATTGAAGAATTCACTTCCTTCTCAGATGCCACTTTACCAGACTGTTTTCTGTAAAAATAAAAAAAGCATGGCTTATTGGCGGAAAGTGTTCAAATCTACTGCCATGTTCGACATTTCGCAGACACCTCTTCCGATAAGACCTCCACATAGAGGCGAACATGACTAAGGACTGCATGTGCGCCATCCTGCGAAGATGTGGTAAGAAATATAAAAGATAAACAGACCGCCCTTTAATATAAGACTGCAAGAACACTGTGTAGCCGCCACACGAGGGGAAATAGAAAAATTAGGCGTATCTGACCACATAGGGAGAAAAAAGGGAGATCACCGCCCGCCTCCGGTGGGATGAGATTGAAATAACAAATAGAAAACATCACTGTAAAATACGAAAACTTAAGGAATCAGCACATATGCAAGGCCACAAAAATCTTCGAATCCTACCAAGTATAGAAATGAATGCAATATGGGAACTAGTAATAAGGAGTGCTAGATAAAAGCAATAATGACAACAAAATTGCAATATGAGCTCTGGTAAATACAATCATGGTTACTGATACATTGAGTTGAGATGTCCTCTCACATGGCCCAGCGTTGATTGGCTTCAGTAACTTGACCAAAATAGTTGTCAGTTCAATACCTGGCTACGGCAGTGGTGAACAACTTGGAGAGTTGAGTTAAAGGGAGATAACTGAGACATACGGAAGAGGCATGACTCATGGATCTAGAACAATTTACCCCAGTGGACGATATAAAGGATTGAGTTCGAAATTCCAATCACCTGAAGAAGGCCGTAGCGTACAACGGTCGAAACGTCGTGAACATGACAATAAAGATTAGGACAACAGTCCGAACAATGTAAATAATCTTCGCTCTTGATTTAATGCGCCAGTATAGCAAAATCGAAGGCTTTATTTTCGGAGCGATTTTTTGCGCACGTGTGTATCTCTGTTAGTGCACGTACGTTGATGCGCTTTTACCTCATGACATTGTTCATATTGTTAAGTAAAGCGGGAAACATTCATTAATATCAACGGAACTATATTCTTGCGTGGATGAAGATTGGTTTTGAGTGGATGTTAAAAAATATAACATATACCGCGTAACATATACCGGGATTTGTCGGTAATCAAAATGTAAGCTGCCGATGTATTTCTAAGCAATTGTTCATTGGTGCATATGAGCGGAAAAGACAAATATTTTAGATATGTGGTTGTTTCAGCATGCGTAAAAGATAAATGCTCCTTCGGATAGAGTTGGTGCTACGCGCCCAAAATGCGTAATATTTGCTTCGTTTTTTTAGTTTGGAGGCATTTATCCATGCAAAGAAAGCTCACTTCTGCAACTTACACTTTCAAAGAGTTAGCAACCATGAACAGAATTTAATATGTGTACAATAATCCATCTTTTTTCGGAAAATATTTTCCAAAATCCCCAATAGATTCTTGAAATCGTGGATAGTAATGAATTATATATATATATATATATATATGTGTGTGTGTGTGTGTGTGTGTGTGTGTGTGTGTGTGCACTATGATTTTCCGCATACTTATATACAGAAAAATTTGAATTCATAAATTATAAATTATCCATAATATAAGCGTTGTTCTACAGAAGCATGCTGAAAATATCAGAACCTGAACGCGTGAGCAACGATAAAATTTTAGCGAAAATGGAAACAAAAAGACGCTCATAGGTAGTACCAGAAAGAGGCAGTTGAAATTTCTAGGTCACATATTAAGGAAAGTAGGTTTAGAAAATTTGACACTCACAAGGCATACTGAAGGCAAGAGAGACAGAGGAAAGCAGCGCTTAACCGATTTAACTGGTTTTATGTAAATAGCCGGCAGAACAGAGATTAGGAGATACAGCAAAAAGCCAAAATTTACTAAGCGCTACAAAGGACAAGATGTCGTGGAGGGCCATGATCACCTACATCTGGAAGAGGTAGGACACATAGAAGATATAAGTGATTATAAAATAGAACAATTATAACAGTATACTACAAGAAAAAAAAATTATGCA